TTTTAAAAATATATATATATATATATATATATATATATATATATATATATATATAATTTGAGAGAAAAATTGGGTATCAACAATAGTTGAGGATGAGGAGAAGTATATGGAGACCTTGGTGAAGGTGGAGAGAAAATGTCAGATACCTCAGGCTCTAAAGAAGTAGATGAGGAATGATCATTTGATGGAGGTGAATATATAGATTATGTGGTGAAGGTTGAACTTGTGAGGTTTTGTTCTCAACAAAAGGAAAATAGGATTCATGAAACTTCACATACCTTGACACAAATACTCTTCCCGTTTCTAATTCCAGTAACTTATATCCCTTCCGATGAAGGGGATACAAGCAAGACACAAGTTGTTGCCCTTTCATCAAATTTCCCTCTTCCTTGAGCTAGTGTTGAAGCATAACAAAGACATTCAAAATTCCTTAAGTAATCATAGTTAGGCTTCTTTTGAAACAAAACCTCATATGATATTTTTCCTTTGAGAACACTGGAGGGCATCCTATTAATAAGGTGTGTAGCAGTTAGGATAGACTCCCCCCAATATGATATAGGTAGTTTAGATTGGAACATTAACCCCCTTGCAATCTCTAAGAGGTGTCTATGTTTCCTCTCAACAATCCCATTTTGTTGAGGAGTTGCTACACAAAACAATTGGTGCAAAATTCCTTGAGAAGCTATGTAAGTTGCCTCTTGTGTGCATGTTCCTAATTCCATTACATTGTCAAATATTATTACCTTGACCTTCACATTAAATTACCTCTCAACCATAGACAGAAAGGATTTAAGCATAGGAAAGGCATTGCTTTTTGCACTTAACAAGAATAGCCATGTTCTTTTACTATAGTCATCCACTATAGTAAGGAAATACCTGAAACCATTATAAGTATTTGACCTATAAGGTCCCCATGTGTCAATATGAATGAGTTCAAATTTATGTTTGGACCTTATGCTACCAACAGGAAAATGATTTCTGGTATGTTTCGCCTTAGGAATAACATCACAGATAAAATCAGAATTTGGCTTACAATGAAGAAAATCTAAATGTTTCATTGCTGAAAATGGGAGGTATCCCAATCTTACATGCCAAAGATTAAAATCAGTAACAACATTAACTTGAACTGGACTAGAAAAGGAAACTGACTTTGAAATGGAATTTCTTCCTTTTGGAATTGAAAATACATCACTATTAAACACACCCTTAGACTTGACACTATTTGGCTCCAATAAATAAAGCCCCTCTCTAACTTCACCAAAATCTTGAGGACTCTTCATTGAAAGGTACTGTAACACACACTCAACAGATGTGAATAAGACATCATACTTGAACTGAGCACAAAACCTATGAACTGACAATAAATTGTATTTGAATTCTGGAACATGTAGCACATTGTTCAGAATATGACCAAGCATAGTAGAGATACTCCCTATATGAGTAACAATCACCTTGAAAGAGTTAGGTAAAGTGATATTTAAAGGTACATGGAGTGGAGTCAAAAACAAGAAAGAGTTTGGATCAAAACACATATGCTCTGAGGCACCTGAATCAATGATCCAGGTGTCTGATTTTAGACTGGTAAATACTGAACCTGAGTATTTTAGAATAGTACAAGCAACTGCATTAGCATTGATTCCTGCATTTCATGCCTGTGCTAGCTTTGCTTTCTTATACTATCGTATCATTTCTGCTACATGTTCCTTGATGAGTTGCTGTCCAAAATTGTTGTTGTTGAGGTCAGTGTTTTGTCCTGCTGAATTTCCATGCTCCTCGTGTGTCAGCACTACATTTGCCTGAACTTGATTCTGATAGCCTTTGTGGTTTGTGAACTCAAAATCTTCCGGGAATCTAATAATCCTGTAGTAGTCTTCTTGTGTGTGTCTTGTTTTTTCACAATAAGTGCAAGACACATTTGGATTGTACTTCTTCCTCCCTTTGAACTTCTGCTGAGGCTTAGCAAGCCTCTGTCCTAAATTGTTGAAATTGGGTGCCATGGTTGTTCCCTTTTGTGTTTGGTTTCTGAGTCTTTGATAATTCTTCCCCTGTCATGTGATCATGAAAGCTGGAAAATCAGTTAGAAGTTGTGCATTAGGTTGCTTGCCCTCTCCTGCTGCCATGAATGATATTGACTGAGAATTATGAGCATTTGCATAAACTTCTCTTTGATTTTTATCTTGTAAGAGAAGTGAACAAGCAACATCCATGCTAGGTAAAGGATTTATCATAAGAATGTTTCCTCTTGCTTGTGCATATATGTCATTTAGTCCCATTAGAAATTGGATCAATCTCTGATCTTCTACGGACTTAGTTAGTTTTGCCTTTCCTTCACAAACACAAACACAAGAGCAACATATGATAACATTCAAAGCATCTAATTCATCTCATAGTCGTTTGAGCTTAGTAAAGTATCCTGTAATATCACTGTTTTTCTGTGCTAATCCTGATAACTCTTTCTGCAGATGATAAAGCTTAGCTCCATTGGACCTCCCAAATCTCTGCTCCAGGCTGTCCCAAAGCTCCTTTGCAGTTTTGGAGTAGATTACGCTATCTGCAATATCCTTTGAAAGAGCATTTAGGATCCAAGAGATGACCATGTCATTCACACAACTCCAGTGCTCATATTCTGGGGATTTCAGATCTGGAGATTGACAAGCTCCATTGATGAAACTAAGTTTCTTCTTGGCTGACAAGGACAATAGGATGGATCTTCTTCAGCCTGGATATCCTCTTCCGTCAAATACAGTATTGATTAGTGTCATACTAGGGGAATCAAAATTGTTGAGGTGATAAGGATGATTGACATTATAGATTACTGATTTAGCAACATTGCTCGCATCACCAGTAAATGTTATGGTTGTTTCAGCCATTTTAGATTACTGATTTGAGAATGAATGTGATGTAATTTTTTTGTTGATGAATGAACTGTTGGATCGAGTTCGCTGCTCTGATACCATGTTAGATTTTTTAGGGAAGAAAATATGATTTTGAGAATTTTTTTTGTATTTCCAATTGAATTCATGCTGGTACTGTACAATGCACTATTTATTTACAGCAAAAGAATCTAAGTTATAACTACCTATACACTTGTCTTCTATTCTATGGGCTATCCTATAACAAACTCACATGCTATTTACAAAAATAAGAAAAGTGTAAAATAAAAATATAATCTTATCTTCAGCTGGCCCAAAGAACAAATTACTCTAGTGAGCCCAAAAGTAATGCAGAGGCCCAATAACTTTGTAAGCCCAATTGTGAGTCTTTAACAAAAGATGTTCAGACATTTAGACATTGAGACATCAAATGTATCGAAACTTCTTCAGAAGACCACTTTACTCTTCCTCTTCTTCTCATTTACTCCTTCATTCTTCTTCTTTGTCTTTGATCACAAGTCCATAAATCCTAGAATTAGAATGGGGTTTCTTCTTCTCAACAAATATTATAATTCCTTATGTAATGAAAATTTTACAGAAAGAAGAGTTGATCTAATTAAGTAAATTTAAGATAATTTGAATCGAAACAATAAATATATAAAATATAATAAAAGCTAAAAATTCTTATATGATAAAATATTATTTAATTGTAATAATTTCAAAAGAATTGTATAATTTGTTTAAAGAAATACAAATAGCTTATATTTTAAAAGTGGAAGAAAGTTATTATTATTAATAATCAAAACTAAACACATAACACATCCTAGTAAAATGAAAGTAGTACTCCAGCTAATATTTGTATATGATTTCTACAATAAAAGGGGTCTAAGTGTGTGATTTTAAAATATAAAGAATTATAAGTAATTTTGCGATATTATAAGGATGTTTAGTATAAGAAAACCCCGAACTCGAACTCCGAATATGATACGGAAAATACTTGGCCCGACAATATAAAACTCGAATCAAACCGTGTCCTGATCCGAGACATCATTGTACCAGTAGTCAGTCGGCCACTGCTTTTAATCACATTCCCAAGCCCCAAACAATTCCTCCGGTTGTCCGAAAAGCAGAGTTCGATAATGGCGACGTCCTCTGCTTCTAGGGTTCCTGCAAAACCAGCGGGCACTTCTTCAATACTGTCGATGCTTAAGGCATACTCTATCCCTTTTATACTTTTCTGTGCTTCACTCTTCTATCAGTTAGTCGTAATTCCTCGTGCCTTTCCCCGTTCGCATTATGATGGTGAGTCCACACTCTAATTACTTCATTATGAATCCTGTAGATTCTTTCTTTTAGTTCTTTTTCTTACTGTATGCTGAGTTGCTTTTTTGAATTATGGCATGATTCTTGTAGCATTGGGTATCAAATCGCAAAGTTCAATTGAGGAAGTTAATCAGGCGTACGAGAAACTCTCTTCAAAGTGGTACGTCCTTTTCACAGGCATTCCATTGTTACATATTTATATAGTTCTTGATTACCTTTTGTTATACCTGTCAACATATATTGGACACTTTGACTTAGTCGCGGGACCGGATATCAGTGTCATATTAAAAAATATATACAGTAGATATACTTTTTATTCCAACATTGCTTCCTCTATCCTTTGTATGAAATTACTTCTTTTTTGGTTAATTCCACAAACACAATAAAGGATGGAGTTTAGACCCTATGGCCCCTAAAGGTTTCAATTGGACATAGGTACCCTGAAAGTAGAACACAAATATTTCCTGCTTGAAATTTTTTCTGGTAATTTGAGTGATTAGTCAACCTCATTAAGGGGTGTTTATGTCTCATTAGAACCTTCAGGGGTGTCGGTGTCTCCAAAACCCATACCTTAAGGGTGTGTGTGTCTGTGTGTGAAATTAACCTCATACTTTATACAATATTCATCACATAGGTTTACTGATTTTGCTGTCGTGAAACTTATAGATGCTCAAATCTTATCTTAGTCTAGACGTCTTGTCACTCTCCGAAGAATTCCTTGAAATTCGTCAATGGCCTTGTTGTTAAATAGCTGCTCTTGTTTGGATTTGCCTTTGTGTTATACTTAAACTTGTTCTAGTGGAAATGGTAGTCTTAATACCAACTACAAGGTTGTTCTTGTCCTTTGCCACATTATCATTTTCATTGCTAGTGGTTGTTCCCTCCATTCCTGGAGCTTATTGAAATGGGCCTCTTTATCAGTCTTTTGAAAGCACTTCTTTCTATGAAAGAGGAGTATTTCAATCTCTATCTCTCTGAAACATGTCACAATCTTCGCTTTTAATAGAATCTTATGGATGTAACATAACCACTACTCATAGAATCTTGTGCAAATTTTGCTTTTACTCCGTATTAGTGCATTTTACACAATCAGCAACTTTAGTATTTTCTGCTAATGGGTCACCATAATCTTTAAAAAAATTAATCCCCGCTAGATGCCCTTATGTAACCCGAGTGTGTTCTGCTCAGTGAAAAAGCCAGTTAATCGATAAAACATAGCTCCACTATGCCACTTCTTAAAAAGTGAACGAATGGAAAGAGAAAGAAGAGACTCTGTTATGCTTGTAAATTTATCCCTTAATCTAAGCGAAATGTTAAGTTATCGATGCTTGGTTTAAAAATTGTAACTTGAGAATCCTACTTCATTCGTACTTACAAAAAAAAAATTGTAAGTTGACGTTTATTTTTGGAAAATTTTATTTCCATTTTTTGCCAATGAACTGATAAGGTCCACCAACGTGATAATGTTTATAATATCCTTTTGCTGGGATGAGGTGAAGTAGATATGACTCGTGAACATTATATAATTGTTTTCCGTGAGATATGTGCCGAATGTGCTTCGAGTTTATTGCACTTTCACTTTTCAGCTATTCCACATCATTGCTGTCAAATCTAGTAATTGAACACCAAGGAAAATTGATTTGGATTTGTTTGTTGGATTTGATTTGCTGGAAATAAAATGGTATTATTTACAGGAATTTAGGCGTTGAGGTTCCTTCTACCATCGATTTTATCAAGGTTAGTTGTCTCATCACTTGCTAATTTAGTTTGCTCCATTACTGTATCTTCATGCTGACGTCCTCTCCCTAGTCTTTTCACATTTTCTTTTTGATCCGAACATGGTTTTGTTTGTTTTGTTTTTTAAAATATTATTTTCTTTTGACATAAAAGATTTGCTCATACCAACCGTCCAAATATTGCCAGATGCTTTATCCAACAGCTTCTTTATCATTATGGTTGTTTCTCTTATTGCTAGCTTGTACACATTCAATGCCTTAACCATGGTATTGCATGCATTTAGATCTGCAAGACACATCTTAGCATTTTTCCTAGTGCCATGGTATGTTCATAGCTGTTGCCTTTCCTGTGATTATAGGTCTTGATGTTTCTATTTTAGACAGCTGTTAAGTGGTCGATTTTACTTACCTGTTGCCTGGCTTTCTTGCACCACTTATCATTACCAATTTTCTTCACTTTTTCCTCCATACCATGAATTTTTCCCATGGCATGATTGCTGCATAATTATTTCACAGGCTCGTTATGCTTTTGAATTGCTGACAAATCAAATTTGGAAGGGAGATTATGACTTATTCGGTATTGATGAGCAGTTCGTAAGTTTTCTTTTCTAGTTTGTACAGATAATTTAGTACCAAAAATGGGAATCTGTAGATTCTTTCACGTTTCCTATTAATCTGTTCTGTTTTATTTTTTAATATATCTTTTCTTTGGCAATTCAGCATGTTATTGAAAAGGCTAAAGAGCAGTATGCCGGGAGAAGTATTTCAGAAATCAGCTTTCCTCTCCTGGAGACATTTTCTTTTGGTTTGTAACACCTCTTTAGATAAACTTTTGCTAGGCAAGCACTTCCCCCGCTGCCATCCCCCAACCCCCCAGAAAGATAAATCAGAGATAATGTGATACTACCAGTGATTTTAGTTTAGTTTTGTTCTTTCTAGATTCACTATCTATGCTTGTCTGATGCAGATTTCTCTATCTTTGTATGTTAGATCATGAAGACCATGCTTTTGATGTTATAAGCTCTGAGAATTTTCGATCCAAGCTTGAAACTGACAAGGCATTGTTAATTCAGGTTTAATATATGTGCTAAACTGGAATATTTCTTACTCTTTTGAATTCTTATGTATCTACAAGTTTGTGTCTTCATTATTCACCCTCTGTACATATAGAGTTCCACTGATTTACCTAGGCATACTATTTTATCAACCAAAATATACTCCCTCGTTTATATATCCGGGTGTTATGAAGGGTTAATTGCATCATTTGATAATATTGTTCAATAACATTCCATGAAACTCTTTTTGGCATGACGAGCATGTATTACTTCTATATGTATAGTTTCTCACAACTATATACTCTTTCATTAGTTAATTTTTATTTTTTCCATTTATTTACTCCTATGATGAACGTTGACCAAAATTCTTCTCTAGATTTTTTCTCCGGGGAGTGTGCGATGTGCTCAATTTTCAAACAAATGGAAGAGAATTGGTAAGAGTTTGAATATTTTTGTAGACATTTATTTCCCATCTATAATTTGCTGATGTTATTTGGTGTATTTCTTTTGTACCCTGCTAATGTTATTTGGTGTGTTTTTCCCATTATTTCTTCTATCTTGTCTCTTCAGTTACTTTGCTGGATGGGGTCGCAGATACTGGAGTTATTGATCTTGCTGATGTTCAACTTGCCACATATCTAGCTGAGAAAGGACCTGGCGGACTACCATTTTTTAGACATGGAAAGTATTTTAATAAACAAATGTCAATTTTACTTTGTCATTCCTCAAAAATGCTTCTACAGAATACTGCAGTTGTTAGATCATATTCTGCTAAAATACAAGCTTGGAACGCATTTCACGGAGTTCATATTTATGGCTGATATTTTATTCTTCCAGTGAAATAATCTACAGAAATGTGAGATTCAATTGGTAACTTAATAATGAAATAAATATATATTTTAGGGACTGAATGAGATGAGAATTAGATAACTGTTATGTTCGGACTGACATAAGCCTGGTATTTAAGTGGAGAAAGGTAGAGGGGCGGGCCCGTTATCCTCCGAGTTTCAAACCGTGCCTCTGGCCCTTGGGATTTTTGGTTGTCTTTTGCAAAAAAAGAAAAAAAAGGAATTAGATAGCTTTATGTGGTGTTCAGCAATTTAACTGCAGCACTTGACCAGTAATGGCTGCTAGTAGGTTCTGAATCATGTCTGCTATAATTTCATTATAGGAGGGATGTGATGGACTTGAAGTACTGAGCTCATCGAATTTGGAAAAGAGTACATATGAAGTGGCAATGCAAAATGCCTTTGCAGTAGTAAGAAGATCTGGAGATATGAAACTGAATAGTCGGTGGAGTGGCCTTATCATGATTAACTCTTCCCTAGATGCTATATTGTGTAAATTATACATTTGCGCCCAGTGAGCTATGATTTCTATTTTTGCATTAAGCGAAAACGGTAGGAGAAGATTTCAGATACACTAATCTTCTGCAGCACTCAGCTCACTAGGTCTAATATTCGGTCACTAAGAACAAGGAACCGAGATTGAGGAAAATATGATAAATTTTGATTATATACATGTTTATCTAGGACTTGCCTCTGTTTTTCCTTAGCTTACGATTTTGATAGGGGTTATCTCGTCCACCAAAATCAATTTGAATTGCAGTTCATTATGCTTTGACAGATTAACTGACACTGATGCATGAATTCCCCATCTCTTCACCCTTTTTAACTTGACTTATTGGTTTACTTACAGGAATTCCAGCATTTGTGGCTTTCCCCCCAGGTTGTAGAGGTTTAAGGTGCATGTCTAGGTGAGTTTCCTTTTCTCACCATTCTTCATGTTATTTTCTTGTCATCCGGACATGTATTCTTGGTTGGAGCTCAAAGCTAGAGTGTGGACTTACTTTGCTTTGAACACAATTTCCTGCTAATTGTATTTTGCTAATGATACTTGATAATCTAGGTATGAAGGAGAACTTTCCATTGATTCAGTTACTGATTGGGTTGCGACGACCATTCTAAGTTTGCCACGTATTCGGTACTACTCAAAGGAGTCAATGGTACCATGAGATTTAGCTTTCATCTTTTGTTTTATTCTGCTGTCATTGCATAATTTGGCTGATGGGGTGGGTTAATGTGTGAAAAAACTGAAAATGGCAGTTTCGTCGGATCTTAGGAACAAAGATTTTAGCGAGCTTGTTTTTTAGGAGTGGGCTGGTTTGGTCAAACTTCCAAAATTTGCTTATTTTGAGAAGAATTTGTCAAAGTAGATTTATCAGAGAAGCAAGTGTGAGAGAGTAGCAGTTTGGGTTTGTCAATCATTTGAGAACTGTCAGTAACCCATAAAAAAAGTGTTTTTGTCAGTATTAGAGAAACAATTTATATTTGACCAATCTTTCAATAAAGTGTTTTTGAGCCTCATATTACGAAAAAGCGACAGAATAGGTTCACTTTTTACAATCCATATTACTTAAACCGATAAACAATTTTGGATATTTATTATGAAAAGACTTTGTTATCATCTCAAAAAAAAATATTTATTATGAAAAGACTTTAGTTAAATCTCAATTTTATTTAATTAAATGTAAAATATTAATAAAAAATACAAATCAATATAAATATAGTTATTTCAAAGTCATAATTGCAATACTTTTAGTCATTTAATATTCATTTGATTGGTAAAGCGTATGTCTGTATAATTGTTATTATAACTGAGATACATACAGGTAAAATAAAGAGGGATAGTTTGGCAAATGTTAATTTTTGGTAAGGGTATTTTTGTCCTGTAAATTAATTTTCTATGCTGCTTGTGCTTTCAAGGAGAGGTTACAAATTTTTATTTCCAGTCTGCTGCAGAAAAATTAGTTTAAGCTACTACCTAGAATACTTTCTTAAAGTTTGGCCAAACTCCTTAATTCTTTGAAATAATAATCAAGTCCTTAATATTTCAAAACTCCTTAATTCGTCAAAATAGTTGAGTACCTTTTTTTTTTTTTGAAAATAAACCATTTCTTGTCAGGGAAAAAAAAACTATTTCCTGTCTCCCAAAAGCTTGGCCAAGCAGGCTATTAGACAACTGTGTTTCTTCTCTAGTTGTATATCGCGAGTTTTTCCACATTCACATCACTTGTGTCTGGCAACTTCTAGATGGATCAGTATGCATGCAAATTTTGTGCTTAGCTTGTTGATGATGGACAAGTTTTGCAAGCTTTAATACTTGACTAGCTTTATATATTCTGATTCACAGCTTCTTTTAATTTCAGGCACAGGATTTTCTGCTGAAAAGCAAACCTCACAAGGTACAACTTTTGACAGTCTTCCCAACTACTTTAGTTTAAAAAAAGAAAGAAAACTAAGTGATGAGAGATGGGCAGTTGCTGCAACTTATGATTGACTAGCTTGATTAACATGCACACTAAAGTATCTGTTAAGGTTGCCCTTTTTTTTTACCAGTTCTGCATGTATACTGATCATATTTAACAGGTCAATTACAATGCAATTATCAAAGGTCATAATCACGTACTCCTCTATCTGTGTAAAACCATCTTGAAGAATGAAGGGCATCCCATCATTAACTTTTTTTTCTAGTTATAAGATGCTAGTGGTATTTTTTGAGCAAAATAATGGGATGATGCTCAAACATCCTCCTTAAAAGGCGATCAATAAGTTTTTTGAAGTATTGCCATAACAAATCACCTTCACTATGCCGTATCTTCTTTTAGAAAGTGATCACTGTTAAAAAATAAAGATCCCAAACAGCACTTTTCAAAGTGTCCTCTTAGTGTTTAAAATTAAAGTTAAATTAAATCCCAGTCCCTGAAAGGAAGAATATGCTTTATGCCTTTACCATTGTTTCCTAGAAAGTGAGGGAATGTTATGCTGTGCAGCTTCTTTTTAACTAATACTACATGGTTTAAATAACTGCTGTAGCTGGCATTGACTAAGTTGTCATGTTCTTTGATTTGTTCAAAGTCTCTGTCACAGGTTTTAGTATTTTGTATGGACTGGCTGCACACACACATTGCTTTGCATATAGCTTTACTAGCTTCTTCTTCTTCTTTTTTTTTTTTTTTGATGAAGTGTAGCTTGACTAGTTGTATTCTATGCAAGAATATACGCCCTGCTTGAAAATGTGAGGATATATTTCCATTTACACTAACATGTTTAGTACCCTGGTTCTGCCATGTGTACTTGTTTTAGGCCGCTTGCTTAGAATTTGACAGGTTTCTTATATTTCTTAATAATAAGGTCAAGGTCATTTTCTTCTCTCAAACTGGTGAACGGGCAACTCCATTTATTCGTCAAGCTGCTAAGAATTACTCAGCCTATGCTACATTCGCATTCGTGCTATGGCAGGAAGGAGAATCTTCATTGTGGTGGAATATGTAATGTACACTATTTTTGCAGTTTCATTTCCCGCTAATTTCTGCACTAGTTTTGCTGTTTCATTTTCCCGCTAATTTCTGCATTTTTCCTTTCCCGTCTCATGTTAATTTGTCTTTCTTTTTTTTTTTGGAGGGAGAGGGGTTGGTGAATAAGTTCTTGATTTCTGCTTCCCTTTTCTCCTCAAATCTCCTTCCTCTCCCTCCCTTATCGTCTCTCTTAGCTTTGTTGGTTTCCATTTTCTTTTGACTTTTCCTCACTGGGTGAATTTGAACAGTTTGGAAGTTAACTGGAAGGGATCAATAACTGCCAAATCATTTGACAACTGTCAAATCATTCTAAATTTTAGCCTTTTTTGGGTACATGTGTTACAGTGTTAGCACATGTTAATAACATGGAATTTTTTTTTTTTAATTTACATCCAAAAGTTGAGTATAATAGTTTTTGGATATAATAAGGTGAAGTTCAAACTTGCTAAAAGTTACTCTATTTTGAACACCAACACATTTACTTTTTGGAAAAAGGGCAAGAAAGACATATTCAGGAACTACAAAAATTTCTATAAACCACGGTTGTTTTATGGATTTGAACTCTATTTTTTTTTTGGTTGAAAATTGTAGTCAAGGATAAAAGTTGCTCGAGTACCCCAATCTTAATCATTTCATAAAAATGACATGAAGAGAGTACAATGTTTCTTAATTTTCATATGTTATTGAATTTGTTTGATTTTTTAACTTTTTAAAAGTTTCTTAATTTTTATAAGTTGAAATACCTAAATGATGATATCCTCATATTTCTTTATGTGGTAATGATTTAAAATGGTTCTAAGTAAGAGTTTACAAAAAGAATAAAGTATAGTTTATTTTCTTTTTGTTGACTTCAACCTTTAGAAGTTTTTCTTTAGCTGTAATTGTAAACCATACACAGGTTAATACTTCTATTTACATCTTCCACATTCTTTCAGAATGAGTCTCATTTTGGATTTATGTTAGAGTAGGTAACTTGGTTCTACTATCTTTGAAGGATGTTCATATCTACTTCTTTATTCCTAACAAACAATCAACTTGGCTTAAATCTCAAACTAATTGGGGGATTGACATGGATCCTCTATCCTTATGCTATATAGCCGATCATTTATTAACTTTCTTTTAAAATTTCACAAAAATATTCGAAATCTGTTCTGAATCTTTTTTCAGTTAGCAATCTGGTTGGCTTTTTATTACAGTTCAACTTGTGAGTGGGGTTGTTTTGTCGAATACAGAGTAATGCTATAAATAACAACTTTTGTTGTGGAGATCCAAGTTTCTCCACATGATATATGAAACCTGAAAATCTTGTTGTTTATAGTTCTGTACTGTATCTATCCATATGAAATAACAGAATTCCTACCTATTAAAGTGCAGCAACAGAATTTGAGCATTGATTGCTGTGGACAGGGGTGGTTAAATAGTACCTTGAGGTACTTTTTGTTTTTTTGGGATAAGTTACCTTGAGGTACTTCGTAATTGATGTACGTAGCTTAATAAAAGAGGAAGACATTATGTTCATTGGATAAGTCAGCCAATATGCAGCATCCCATAAAAGACTATTTGTACACTAATGTGTGGAACTTCCACGACGTGATTTGAGCTAGCTAATTCATGTTCTCCAGGCAATATTCTTTTCTTGTAGGATTGATTCCTCTTCCATGCCTAAGAGAAAAAGGAAAAAAAATAAAAATAAAAAACAATGGTGAAGCAAATAGAGCTCTTTGTTGTGAAATGCTGAACTTTTACTCGGTTATTCTTTTGTACTTCTATGCTCTGCTCCCTTGATAATTTTCACTTAATGATGATGTAAGATAACCTATTGTCCTATCTATACAGGTTAGGGGTCGAATCTGCCCCTGCCATCGTATTTCTAAAAGAAACAGGTGTCAAACCTGTTGTTCATCATGGCAAGTTCATTTTTCTCCTCATTTCTTATTGTATATTCTCTAATAACTTCTGGTGGCTGTGATAAGTTACGTGTCTAAGATGTTTATGATTGTAGGCTATGTCAACAGTTCATTGTTTGTGGATATTATGGAGAAGAATAAAAATCAAGGTACTTATCTTTTCTCCCTTTTACCATTGTATTTGGCTATTTCGTCAGTTTCATAGTTAGTGTACTGCATAAGTGAATTGAACACGTATTTTTTCATAAACTGCTTTATCTGATATTATTTGTGCTGTGGCTAATCAATTTGAGATTTTAGCAAATACATTCAAGTCAGCCAGGTTTATTTTGTTCATGTTACTCTAGTGTCAGCAATTATTATGTTTGAGCATTGACACTCATTTTAGATTGACTTAGCAAATTTCCGTCTGGAGTTATCCTTTTTATTCTTGTTGAATGTTATGGTTAGTGTTTCCAGTATCAATAGAGGAGAATACTGCTTCAAATATAAGTGTTTTTCACTCATTAATTTCAAGTATATTTCCTCCAAGTGATAAGCCACTTTACCAAGAATTCTTTTTGGTAATTAATGCTTATTATTAGAAAAATCATTTTGGCTAGAGCTGCCAGTAGTAGAGTGAAGATAGAAGACAATATAGAAATTGAAGTTTTAAAATCATTGTTATATCCTGCTTTGTGCCTTTGTGTGTGCTAATTTAGAGTGTCATGTTATGGCTTTAGATGGATGGTTAGTGTAATTTACCCAGATGCGAACAAGGAACTATATTTTATTACTAGTTCATTGAAGTGTAGTTTTTCATGTGACCATAGTAGTTATTGCAGTTATTCTGTACATATTGTATGCATAGTTGTGGCAATATAGCTGCTTCAAGTTTTACCAACATGCAAATTGGCGTAGGCACTCACAGCAGTATGAGGCATAAGTGGGCATTTTCAGTCTAAGTTGCTCCGACATGGTAGTTTAGGTGCCGCACCCATGTCGACACGACACTAATATGGGTGTGGGTATGGCATCCGTACCGGATCTGATCAAACAATTTTGGGTACTTTGACCACGACGGAAGGAAAAATTCGAGACGAGATACAATTTGATTCCCGAAATCAGAACCAAAAATAGGGTAAATTTGAAGAAAATAGCATACCTTATCTAG